AAATCTGTCACTAACTCTGGAATGCTACAGTTGTCTTAGTAATATCTTTTTGCCTGAAGGATAATTCAGGAAACCAGTGTTATGTAAATAAGGTACAGTTCCTGTCTTCAAGTAGTTTAGTGTCTAAAAAAGAAAGCACACTAAAGTAAATTACAAAGATGAATTATGCCATGGCAAGGGCAAAAGTGAAGATATAAAAAGGTTATTATAGGACATAGTTGAGGGTTACCCAAACTTCCAGGGGCAGGAGGTGGGAGAGTGTTTAGGGCACAGGGAAGGAGGCAACATCTGAACTGCATCTTGAGGATGAGCAGCAGTTATCCTGATGATACTGTAGTTAATAGACATATGTATGTTGTCTAACACACAGGTGTCAGTGTAAAGAAAGGCTCATGGGCAAGGAGATAAGGCTTGAGGGGTATTCAGGGGACAACTTATAGAGGAACTTGTATCATGTATCACTCATATATATTAATTTATCAGGTAATAGAGAGCTACTGGAGGGTTTTAAGAAAGGGAGTGCCAGAGGCAAATCATCTACTCTCCAGTTTCTTTGGCATTTTTGTGGGTTCTAGAGAGGAATGCTTCTACCTTTCTGAAACCTAAAGTCTATAGAAGGAGGCCCAAGGTAGAATGGTAGGGTGACAAATACAGAAGCTGTCTTATACCGTAGGGGATGCTTTCTCATATGTAGGAAAAATCCTTATCTGAGTAAATATAAGTCTTTTCCATCTAGTGAAAAAAATGTATATATATATTAGGCATTCCTCACTTTGCATGATTCCCATGTACACAGATTTCAGTTACCATGTTTAATTAAATATCACCCAGTCTCCCAGCAAGTGTTTCAGATTGCACTTACTGCAGTTGTTAACTGTGATTAATTGCATAAAGTACAAATTTTGCTACTCTCTCTTCAGTCTACAAAACAAAATAAACCACAAAAACTGCATAAATAACAGATACGACCAGTCACATCATTTCATTCAGTCTCTTGGTGATTGTTCAAGGGCACATCTGTTAGTCAGTTCATGCACAGACAGCAAAGTGTATAGTGTGTCGCTTCCTTGTCTCTCAGTGATAAACCTATGTGATATTTTACACAAATGGAAAATCAAAAGATGTACTTTACCAACAAAGATGAGAGTATAATTAGAATTGAACATAAATGGAATGATAGACGAAATAGCTGATCCTGGGACATGGCTGCCATTTGAGAGACTCTACATGATGCAACCAGAGGAACATAGTGAAGACATTCTTTGTCCTAATTATTTACCTTTCATTTTAACATTAAGAGAATTGAGATGTCATATTAGATACTTAAAGTTAGAGTCTATTTTTGGGGCGCCTGGGTGGCTTAGTTAGTTGAGTATCCAACTCTTGATTTGGACTTGGTCGTGATCTCAGGGTCGTGAGATGGAGCTCATCAGCATCAGGCTCTGTGCTCAGGAGGGAGTCTGCTTGAGATTCTCTCCCCACCCCCACACCCTCTCTGTCTTTCTCTCTCTCAAATATATAAATAAATAAGTTTTAAGAAAAAAAAGAATTAGAATCTATTTTCCATTCAGGTAACTCAAATCCATTCAAGTCTTTCCATCAGTTCATTCATTCATCAAAGTCTCATCATTAATTAATAAATGGGCACTTTCTGTGAGTCAGATACTGTTCTAGGCACTGAGGATACCACACTGAATAAAATAAAGAACTTCAGTTTAAACTCTGTAAGGAGCTTATATACCATCTCTTACTCCACCACTAAAATCTGATTTATAATTATCTTTCACTATACTATAAAAGCCTCCAACCTGATCCATTCTCTTCTATTCTACACTCTCAGAGTCTCTATCTTTATTTTATATCATGTGCCTGAATCTATTTTTTTCTCTGATATATAAATCAATCTTACTTAAATTCTTCTCATGCCTCTAAGCCCAAAGTGACTCATAAAATGCCTTTGTTTTTCATTCAGTAAAAGCTAAATTAAAAAAAAAAAAAGAAAGTAGTGACTTTCTTATAGACCCAAGTAACCAGATAATGCTAACAATAAAAGGAAATTCAGCTCCCCCCCCCACACTGCTAAGTACCTGAATTTTTCTTTCTTTCCTTCTTAAAAAAATAGTTTAACCTAATTAAAAAAAGGATTTGACTGACCTGACTTGTTCCTATTTGGGCAAAACTCTTTATTCCAAGTGACTTCATTGGCTACTGCCCAGACTTCATATTGGTCTCCCTTAGATCAAGTGTCGTGTCCTGTGGCTGAGGTGGAGTAAGAGTGAGTTCCTGAAGAAAAGATCATTACTGTTGCTGCCTCCTTATTAGAGTCTCTGGATATGGAACAATCCCTTCAAAGGAAATTTTACATACAGAAGATACCATGTTTAACATGTCTAGTTCACCATTACAAAGTATTTCAGATAAGTAAATTAAAGAAGTTGTACTGCCTCTGCATTCTGTTTATCATGGGTTAGGGGAGGGAAGAAACTCTGGTTGGAAAAACATCTGGTAGCCAGAGAAGGGGAAGCATGTAGTTAGAATCAAGTATTCACAGAAATAAACATAAGTAAGTAAATAAATAAACACGTACTTAAAAAAAAAAAAGGGAAAAGGAAATAGGCTTAGGACAGAGGTTTCTCTACCTATGTGCCTCTTACCCTGGCTCCTTGTTCTTCATCTTCCTGACACTTCTCAGGAGCTTCTTAGCACCCACCCTCCTAGAACTGCTGTCCCATCTTAGGGAGCCACCACCACTGCCTTAATGCTGAAGATATTTCTTATGTTCTATTATAAAAAGTGAAGAAACTTAGCTCTGATAATATTTTTACTTGTGGAATCTCACCTAACACTTGGACAACTGAGAACAGTATATCTCATGTTTTGTAATTAGGCTGATATTTAGTATCTTAAAAAAAGTATAAACTCAGGGCAAAATTGAGCTAAAACTTTGGGTCTATTAGATGTTGTTGGTAAATGAGTAATTTTAATAACACCAAGTTTATGAAATATATAATTCCTTTGGTTGATTTGTCTTGGTGATCTATAATTAACATTTGTGTGTATTGATGAGAATGAGTGTATTTGACAACTACATGCATCTAGAATAAGTAGAAGGGCAGGATCCTCAATTCTTGGTAAATCTGTCAAACTGACATGATTCCACCTTGCTACCTGTATCACTTTGGTCAAATCATTTAATTCTCAGAACTGTTTTGTTATCTGTAAAAATGGGAGAAATACCTACTTTGTAGGATTGCCATCAAATCAACAGAGGTATTTGGAAGTGGCTGGTACAACATCTGGCATATAGTAGCTCAGTGAAGTTCCTTTCTTCCTTTCCCCCCCTCTTTTTTCCCTCCTTCTTTCTCACGACCACTTCTCTGTTCTCTTTCTAATGGTCTAAACACAAAAGGACCAAGCTCCCACAGGATAGCCCTTTTCCTCTGCCCTCTTGATTTTTCCTTTTGTTACCTCATTGTGACTAAATACGCTTACATCTAATATAGAGAGAACACAAAAATCTGTCTTTAAACTTGTTCTCTTAGTTTTTCCGGTCTCTTCTCTGGTTCCCAAGAGACCTGTTTACTTCAGCATTTTATTGTTGCTTTAAGTTTAACATCTCAGAAGCTGCTTAAATCACTTCCTTATTTTTCAAATAGGCACCTCTTCTGATTTCCTCATTGTCTAGCCAAAGCATTACTTCCTTCTCTAATCCATTAATACAGATTGATAAAGCCCTCAGTGATTAATCCTGAATGACTCTTTGACTCCATTATTCTATATCCTGAAATTCTAAAAACTTACCCTCAGTTTGCAGTACATTAATTTCAAGTTTTTAATATTTGTAAGCTCAAAATCATTTCAGTTTTTGAGTTAGAATTTGCTTAAAATCCTATGAGGTTCTCTCGCTCTCTCTTTTTTTTGATGTATTTATTTTTTTGAGAGAGAGGACACACACACACACACACACACACACACATGCATGCTTAAGGGAGAGGGTAGGAGGGAGAAAAGCAGACTCCCTACTGAATGCAGAGGCCTATGCATGGCTCCATCTCATGACCTGAGCCGAAACCAAGAGTCAGATGCTTAACCAACTGAGCTACACAGGTGCCCAGAGGTCCTATGAGATTCCTAAGAAAAGGGAATTTTTCTTGTTGTTTTGTATATGTCAAAACCTAGTAAACGGTTGATTTACTGATTATTGATTAGAGCTATAAAAATAAACTCCAAAGTGTTCCTTTATTTCTTTCTTCCTGTTCTTTTGTTTAGCTTCCTTCATCTTGCTCACAGATCTTTCTACAAGAGAAAGGATATTATCTATTTTATGTCTTAGGGTATTAGTAATGGAGATTAAAGATTTGATTTGGGTTCTATTATATGGAAAAAAAATTTTTGATACTAATTTTTTAGCTCTATAAAACCGCTTTTTTTCATAGGACCCATGAGCAGCCACTTTGGTTTTTCTTGGGTCATTCATGGAGTGTGGTGACAATGATTTGGATTAGAGAAATGGCCAGATTATGGTCCAGTTTTTCAGTAATTACAAATAGATTATGTCTGAGGGCATTTTGCTTCAGCATTAATAAACTAAAGCCAACTTGATAGAGCCTGGTTTGGGCTTTGTGCTGGGCATGGATACTGCTTAGGATTCTCTCTCCCTCTCCCTCCTGCCCTCCTCACTTCTCTAAAAATAAATAAATAAATAATAAACTAAAATCAACTTTTAAAAGTTTCAGTAAGATTTAACAGATCCATTGCTGGATACCAGCTTTATATAAAAGATGCTGTTTTTATTCTCTATTCAATAGTATGCTACCATTTTTGTTGATAGTAACAAATAATTCAAATACTCATATTAAAAAGATAAATAAGAAATAAATTATAAATATGCATTGATGAGGAAACCAAAAGTTGGGATAAAAACAACTCAGAACCTTTGTTTAGTTTTCGGCTTGTATGAGCTTATGGTTCATAGCATGTCTTCACCTTTAACCTTGCAGGGACTCAAAGGCTATCCAGGGCTCCCAGGACTCCAAGGTGAACCAGTAAGTACTTCATTTATAAAACTTGTATCTTCTCCAGTAAAAAAGACACACATTAGTGAACTCCATTGAGAGATTATTTTCCCCCACTTATTAAAATTTCCTTCTCAGTGATTTTCACTCTCTTTAGTGCAAGACAGAATTTTTCAATTGATCATGTTATAGGTTTGTTTTTGTTTTTTTTCCTGAATCCCTGACTGACTTTAACTATCTGCCTAAGATGTTCCAGGACAGCAGTTCTTAAACTTTTGAGGTTCACAAGCCCCTTTAAGAATGTTATAAATGCTATGAACTCTTTCTCCAGAAAACACACATATTCATGCACATGAATGCACACACGCACACACATTTATTTTTATATTTTTGTTTTCATTTTTTCTTTCACACATTTGTGTTTTTTTAAGATTTTATTTGAGAGAGAGCGCGCTCATGCTCACACACACACACACACACACACACACACACGAGTGGAAGGGAGGGTTGGAGGGAGAGGGAGAAGCAGATTCCCCACTGAGCAGGGAGCCCAACACGGGACTTGATCCCAGGATCCTGGCAGACTGAGCCACCCAGGCGCCCCACACATTTGATTTTTTCTACGGTTTCAGGGGTTTGCCTATTTACAAAAGCCTATTAATAGCTGTTAATTTCCTGACCTTTGCATAAGGGAATGTAAATAAATTTTAATAAAAATCCAAATTAGAATAGCACATATGTTATTGTCCATTAGACACATATGCACATATTTAAAGTCAGAATAGTTTGGGAACTCTTTAGTTTTTAATCATGTTATTCTTTCTCTCTCCCACCAGAAAATAATATATCATATGTCATAGGGAAAAAAATAAAGCCATATCTCTTGTTTTCAATACAGTATATACTAGGTCAGTATAAATAAAGCAGTGAAAAGGATAAGAGATAAGAAACTAACTAGGGTGATGGACACCGTTATTGCAGATTCAGCAAAGAGCCTCAGGAAGCCCTAAAGAGAGCTCCAGAAAGAAATGTGATAGAATGTCCCTGAGGGAAAGATATAAATGAAATAAAACTAATTTTCTCTTTCATTCATGTTAAGTGGGACAGTATACTCTGTTCAGTCCTGAGGCACAGTTTTTCAAGATTACTAATTACTAGAAATAGCAAGTAAAGTGATAAATGTTATCTGTAACAAGTGCAATCTCAGTTTCTTGAAGATTAAACAAGTGCTAAAAAGCATTTATGGGAAAAAAGTCAGAAGGACAGGAAGGATTAGTCCCTGGGGAGAAAAAAAAATCTCTAGGGGCGCCTGGGTGGCTCAGTCGTTAAGTGTCTACCTTCCACTCGGGTCATGATCTCGGGGTCCTGGGATCAAGCCCCGCATCGGGCTCCCTGTTCCGCGGGAAGCCTGCTTCTCCCTCTCCCGCTCCCCCTGCTTGTGTTCCCTCTCTCGCTTTGTCCCTCTATCTCTGTCAGATAAATAAATAAAATCTTTAAAAAAAAATCTGTAGAAAACTGCTTTGACACAAATGTCTGGGTTCTAATAAAGAAAACCTAATATTTCACAAGTAAATGAAAAATTGACCATGTTAATACTTACAAGTGTTCTCACAACTGCTCTATAACCTAGTTCTTAGTATACTTGTTAATGTTCTGAGAGTGTCCATTTTAGAAAAGTCTAAAATCAGTTTTAAAGGTTGGAAAATGTATTTTGGAACAGTTATGGCTTTCCATTCTGTTTATTTCCAGAAAAAAAGGCAAAATTGGTGGTAACTGTGAAATACATCTAAAATCATTTTGCATTTTAACTGTGAACACACTGGATATTAAGAGGAGCATAACTATTTTGCTAGGAGACATTTACTTCTGAAAAATTTTGTAAATATCTATAAATTGGTCAACAAGCATTTGGAAAATAATTTTATCATCTGTGCAAGTGCTAGTAATTAGAGCTGTCATTTACTGAATTCTTATTAATTGCTAAACTATACCTACTATCAACTATAACTTCTAGTAGTATAATTATTATTTCCGTATGTTAACTAATTTAATGCACAGCAATGCTAAGGATTGTTGCAGTTTCTCCCACTTTTAAATATATTTCTACACATTGTTCTGTTTTCTCCACACAATAATCCTGTGACCTAGATATTATTATTCTACTTTACTAATTCTACTTGGTAGCAGTGCTGGGATTCCCAATGAAGTCTTGATTTTCTCAGAGCGTGTGCTTTTAATTCTTGGTGTTAGAAGTAGGACTGGGGCAAGTTTCCTATTCCTAATTTCTCCAGGGTCTAGAGATAGATCTTTGTGTCTAAATTGCTCCATTCAATCTATAGATTTAAGTGGGCCAACTTTTTTGTTTTTAACCATTTTTAAGTGCATAGTGAATTTTAAGTTGTAATGTTTGCTTTGAATTTCTTCTGAGCTTCTGTGGTTGTCATAGTGATTTTAGAGTGTGGTTGGCTTATACATGTTTATACCATATAAGACTGCTGAAGGCTTACCTGTTTACTTTGTCTACAGCCATTCCAGGATAGCAGAATTTAGCCATCCCCCAGAATTCTTTTGTGTATTTCTCTTTGCAGCTGGAATGTTTTAGATCTCTACATGTTGCCTTAACACCTTCTATGAAAATCCATTCAAAATCAGATTTCCTTTATGACTTAAAACAGAGTGCTTTTTAATAGAGCTCAATTAATCTAATTTGGCTAGGAGAGGAATGAAAGGGATGGTGGTTGGTCTTAGCCAGACAGTGACCTACAGAATAAAAACAGCCCTTTTAATTTGTTTCACTCCTTTCTATTGGCATACCCAAATATAAGTTTTTGTGAATGTCTGGATATAGGCCTGTGTATTTTAGAATTGGATGAAGCATAAAGGAAGCAATTGTAAATAGACTGGAGCAAATCTCATAATTAGAGGGCTTTCCCGAGAGTACTATTGGAAGTTATATATACTTTAGAACTATGCTAGGGAAGCAGCCTTGGATGGTGGTCTCTGGAATTAGACATGCTTATTCAAATCCTCGCTTCCCACATACTAGCTGAGTGACTTTCCACTGGTGACAGATACTGTATGTTTCATTTTTTAATCTGTAAAATAGGGATAATGGCACCTACCTTATAGGGTTTAGGCAGATTAAATAAGATAATACATATAAAATACTTAAAATAGTGCCTGGCATATGATAGGTGCTAAATGAATGTTACGGGAATATGATATTATATATTGAACATGTTTTTAATAAGGTGATATTTAGTACAGAAATATGGTTTCTGAAATTCATAGATTAAATCTCTCCATATGTAGATAAGAATTTTATTCTGTACTTCTCAGAAAGCCACTGTTTTATTGACATTCTGTTAAATTGCCCATTGTCATATATATATATAGTATGGATGAATGTCTATACGTATATAGTATATATGTAAGTATGTGTGTGTGCATGACATGACAACTTTTGTCAGATTGTCTGAGTTCATATTCGGGCTCTGCTACTTACTCACTGTGGCATCTTGGGCAAGTTTCATAACTTCTCTGTATCTTATTTTCTTCAAATGTAGAATAGAGAAAATAGTATCTATCTCATAGATGTAAAGCTGATGTAATGTGCTTGGCATAGTGAGTGGCACATAAAAAGGGCTCAGTAAATGGTAATTGTTGGAGGAAGGGGAGAGGAGGAGGGAGAGAAATGAGAAGAGAACAAAATTGAGAGAGATTCTGAGAAAAGTGGAGATAAAGATATATTAGGAGCCTTCATGTCTAATAAAATGTTCATCTGTGATCCTCCAATTGCCTTTTCCTTTGTCTGTTCTTACTATAGATTTTCCAAATTTTTAGGAATTTTATAGTGTTTTTGTACTTAAACTGAAGGTAACACTCTTGTGTGTGCTTCAGAGCAGAAGGGCAAAGGGCTAGTGTCTTTTATCTCTTACAAACAATAAGAAGGAAATGAATTTTACATAATAAATAAATAATCTATGAAATTTAACATTGCTGTCACCATCTGAGTTTAAGTAAAGGCAGTTCAACATACAGTCTTCTGGCCATTTCCTTGGTTCAAGAATTATTTAATACACCTAAACTCTGGATAAACTAATGAATGAATTTATCAGTGAAAGAAAAGTAAAAACAAAGTGGAGGTATTTCTTCTCACTTGATCCCCGCCCCCCCGCCCCCCCCAGTTCTGTAGCAAGTTTCCTTTCTTATGCCTTTGAGTCTCCTTTCTTCAGCAAACCTTGTTTTAAAATTAAAAATACAAAGTTGTCAATTTAAAATGAGTTTACCCTCCAAAGTTAGTTGGAATTTTTAGATGGATCTATGTCATGATAAAGGTACTTACCACTTAATATCCATTTCTTAATCAGACTTGCTGTAAGAATGAGTTTACTTTAGGAAGGAAGAAGAGGTTTGTTCTAAGGTTCACTGCCCTTTTTAGTCTTCTGGGGCTCATGCTTAGACATTTAAGGAGAGTTGCGAGATGATTGAGGTAAGAAGGAATTCAATGTAAAAAGATACTGGTTATTAAGAAATGTATCAACTCTTTTTCTAGAATAAGTGTCTTCTTTATGTAGTGCTGGATTTTTCCGTCCTAGATTTATCATTATTAATAGTCTGTATCTCATTTAGGGCCCCTAATCTGACAGTTTTATTTTTCTATTTAATAATTTTGGCTCATTTTTATTTCAAATAGGTGATTTCAGTCAGATAAACAATGTGCAGGACCCTTAGTACTTTTATGGGGAAAAATTTCTTTATAAACTTGGGTATTATAATTGTGCCAAATTTGTTTCCTTGGGCTTCTTTTGATTTTGTTGTATTGTTTTATTTATTTTTTATTTCAGGGAATTCTAGGATTCACTGGTAATATTGGTTCACGTGGTTACCCTGGCAGGCAGGTGAGGTAACTATATTTACATTTCTCCTTTTATGTTCCTTTTCATTAATGCATTGTATGTTCTGATTTTCAGAGTTAATGTTCAAATAATAATTGGTTTATTTCTATTAAATAATGAATGCCTCATGGCAAAATAATTTCAAAATTAAAATTGTAAAAATCTTTAAAAATGTTACTGTAGAAAGTTTTGTTTAAAATGGGAGTAGGGTTTTTAAACATATGTGATGTGATACAGTGGAAACTTCAAAATTAAAATGCCCAAGGGTCTAATAAGATTTTAAAACAATCCTGCTACTGATTTTACAATACTGCCACTCACTATAATGAAGTAATGGTAAGAGTTAAGACTGTATAACAAGTGTTATTTTTTAATAGCAGAGTTATAAAAACTTGAGACACAGTTTGGCAGTGCTACGTATACCACTACTGAATAATTTTATCTGAAATGAATTCAAGTCTTTTTATACAGTTTTGAAAATTCATTCTAAACATTTTATATTTATTTTCCTCTCATTTATAACTTTATCTATTTCATATAGACTAATAATAGAGCAAATTTTCTTCCTGAGGTTTTCATGAATTGAAGACTTACTCTTGAAATTAATTATTCATTTAGCATACTAGAAAGCTATAGTTATAATATCTTTTTATTCTCAAGAATGAGGGAAATGAAAATGCCAAAAAGTAATCTATAGTTAACAAAATTCCATATTTTAGGCCTTTAAAAATACATGGAGAGTATTGTATATTAGAGTCTTACCACCAAGTGATGATTTGTGTTGTCTGAAAGATATATAAATACTCAAGCATATGGAGATTGATCTGAAGTTAAAAATGTATTGATTTTTAAATTATGGGAATATATTTTAGATAAGTTAATTAGAAGTATTTTAAAAAACAGTTTTCCAATGAGAAATAATTTAATTAAAATTTATTTTTTTTGCATCTTATACTGTGTGTTAATTTACCTTGTTTAGGTATCTAAAATATATTTTTGTATAGATTATATATAGTACCTCTTTTGGCTCTGAAATTCTAAAACTCCTTGAACATATATAGTCTTCATTAAGTATACCTAGTTCTGAATTTTATACTTGTGAAAATGATACCTCTTTATATGACCATTTTATTTTATTTATCAACAATGCTTTCAAAATACTGTAGTATGATAATGATGTCTTTTGTTCATACTAGGGTTTAGCTGGACCAGAAGGTAATCCAGGTCCTAAAGGTGTACGAGTAAGTAAACATTTTCATCATTTTGTAAGCAGGCTTGCATAAAAATCAAATGAAGTATGTAAAATAGGTATCAGTTTCACACTTCCGTAGGAACTTTGAATGTAATGCCAGGTTAGCCTGAAAAGAAGTACATTTGTTTAATAGATGCTTTCACTGTTAATAGCCACAGAAAGCAGCCTTATAGTAGTAGGTTTTACCTCATTCTTTTGTATTGTTTTCTGGCTCCTAGCATAATGTCTGGTATGTTAGAATGGACTCTATCAACATTTGTAGTATAATTTATATATGAACGTATATAGACCTAAGAAATCATGATAAAAAATACAAAGAGGCAAAAAAATTGCATATTAATTTCAAGGCTGAGATAATATGATATAAAAACTATCTGCAGTAAAAAAAAATCTGCAAAGAAGGAAATAAGCTTATCATATCAAGAGTATACCATTGCACTTCAAACCACTAAAGAGTTTAGTCACTTTTAATCATTAAGGAAGTGAAAAAAAATTACTGTGATATCTTATATAGTGTGCTACAAATTAAAATCAAATCTAGTCTAGGAAAAATAAGAAAAGGTAAACTGGAATTTTTGTTTTTAAAATTCTCTACCTTTAAAAGCAAGTTATTTTCCAGAATCTACGTTTATGCCTTATATTATCTAAAATACCTTTTTGAGGGGCACCTGGATGGCTCAGTCAGTTAAGAATCCGACTCTTGATTTCCGCTCAGGTCATGATCTTAGGGTGGTGAGACGGAGTGCCATGTCAGGCTCCGTGCCGGGTGTGGAGCCTGCTTAAGATTCTCTCTCTTCCTCTCCCTCTGCCCCATCCCTCTCTCTCTCTCTCTCTTAAAAAATATAACTAAGTAAAAAATAAAATACCTTTTTCAAATAAAGCATAAAGTATTTAAACAGTATGTGCTATAATGATGCTTTAAATTTAAAATTTCTAAATAATACTTTCATATGTTTTTTCTTCCTTTCATTTTGCTCTCAATCCTGTGAAGTAATTTTACAGATGAGAAAATAGCAAGCTAAGGAATTTACCAAAGTTGGCAAAGTCCCAGCTGGCCAAAGAACCAAAGTCTTCTCACATTTACCTATGTACTCTTTCCTCTCTCCTATATCCTGTCTCTACCCTCATATTAAGTGAAAATGTAATGGAGAAAGGTCATGTATTTTTTTATTAGGAAGTGTACCAAAAGCATGTATTGACTTGGATCTGGGAAGCAGAGAATAGTGGTCAAGAACCGCCTGAGCTTAACATTCTTAAACCATAGTGTCTAGCATATACAATGCATTTTCTATGCAGACTTTATCGTTTTATTGGAATTTGGGAGTCTTTTCTGTGCATGAACTCATAACTCCAAGACATGTTATTTGGTACCATGTAGTTTTCTCTTAACTGTATTTTCTCATCTTGCTTCAGTGATTCCCAAAACCTTTCTAAGTTCTTCTTTATACCACTATATTATACATCCTTTTGTACTGTATTATACATCCTTTTGTTGCTTTTTTCTTCACTTGTATGGAAGCTGTTGTCTGTGTTGTAACCCTTTTTAAGTTATAGTTTTAGGTTTCGACAGCCAGCTTTATAAAAGCACTTTAAAAAATAACAAATATGGGGCGCCTGGGTGGCTCAGTTGTTAAGCGTCTGCCTTCGGCTCAGGTCATGATCCCAGGGTCCTGGGATCAAGCCCCACATCAGGTTCCTTGCTCTCCCTCTCCCACTCCCCCTGCTTGTGTTCCCTCTCTCACTGTGTCTCTCTCTGTCAAATAAATAAATTAAAAATCTTAAAATAAATAAATAAAATATAACAAATATAATTTATTTTCTGATTAATTTAATTGATTTGATTCTTTAATTTTCCTTTGGGAATACAGGAGGATTCAGGAAGCCTTTTTCTTTCAGCTTCACATCCACAGAGGGTCTCAAATGTAGACTTTTAACTTTAACTTCAAATCCACATTTGATTAAAAAGACAAAAATCACAAAAAACACACCAACAGGATTATAAAATGTTTTTCATTTGATTTGTTTCCTGTTACTGGACTATGCCACAGGCTACATACTGTAAATTAATATTTTTATCAATCATGTTGATAAATGATCTTTTGACTGGCAGCATTATTTGATTCCATTTTTTGGTGTTATGATATTACTTTTATGTTTTAAAGATTTTATTTATTAGAGAGAGAGAGCGCGCACAAGCACGAGCAGCGGTGGGGGGGTGCAAAGGGAGAAGCAGACGCAGACTTTCTGCTGAGTGCGGAGCTGGATGTGGGGTTCGATCCCAGGACCCTGGGATCATGACCTGACCCATAAGCAGATGCTTAACTGACTGACCCACCCAGGTGCCCTGATATTACTTCTAGGTTAAATGTGTATTTTGTAACCCTCTTTTGGCATTTCTTTGTGTAATTATATGCTCGGTGCCTCGAGAAGTAGAAGTGTGTAGGGCCTCTTCTGACTTTTTAGTGGCCCTACTGGTGACACAAATTTGCCTCTAACTGGATATATAACCTTCTATCTAAAAGTCAAAAGCATGTATGTTGTTATTTTTTTAATGTTCTTTGTTTCATTACACGTTAAACTCTAGGGGTAGTGTCTTTTTTTTTTTTTTAAGATTTTATTTATTTGAGAGAGAGAGAATGAGAGACAGAGAGCATGAGAGGAAGGAGGGTCAGAGGGAGAAGGAGACTCCCTGCTGAACAGGGGGCCCGATGTGGGACTCGATCCTGGGACTCCAGGATCATGACCTGAGCCGAAGGCAGTCACTTAACCAACTGAGCCACCCAGGCACCCCTTAGGGGTAGTGTCTTGAGAATGACCACAACCCCATGTGATTTCTAGTGGGTGCTGCTGGCATTTTATTTCTGTTAGCATCAGCATAATAATTACTAAGAAACCTTTATGAAACACCAATATAATTACTCATTAAAATCTTTAATTGCAAAATGTTTTTGCACCCTATTCAGGCTATGTTGAGTAGAGGTCTGACTTTCTCCTGAGTTCTCAGCTGATTACTTAGTTCAGTGATGAGTGTATACCAGTTAGGGCATCTATTGTTTTTATTTATAAGCAAAAATTCAGTTGTATATATTAAAATAAAAGTTAAGTCTTTTTAAACTTGAAGCTATCTGTAGCTGGTGATTCTGAAAATATATATAGCATGTCATCATAATCATAAATGTTTTGATATCAGGAATGTTTTTGGATGCTTTATTTTACAAGAAATTTTTCACGTCCTCCACACGCTTGGCTTTTAAGCAAACAAATTATAGATGCTTTACTTACTAAAGTTAAGTAGAAGGAAACTAATTTTCTCTTTTTAAAAAATTTTTGCTTGTTCATACAAACTGTAGAACACAGGGAATTTTAAAGGTGTTTTTCCTGGTCAAAGAAGAGTGCTGCTCTTACTATGGCAACACCCAACTAGCTTTCACTCTCAAAGATTAAGTCCCTCCCAGGGTTGTTATTCCAGGCAAAACAGAAATGGTTCCTGAGATATTTACTTAAAAAAATGGTAAAGTCTACATAACATAAACATTTCCATTTTATGAGTATTTTTAAGAGTATAATTTAGTGGTCTTAGTTTGGGCTGCTATGATAGAAATGTAGACAGGGTGGTTTGTTTATTTATTAATTGATTGATTTTTAAGATTTTATTTATTTATTTGACAGAGAGAAACACAGTGAGAGAGGGAACACAAGCAGGGGGAGTGGGAGAGGGAGAAGCAGGCTTCCTGCGGAGCAGGGAGCCCCATGCGGGGCTTGATCCCAGGACCCTGGGATCACGACCTGAGCCGAAGGCAGACGCTTAACGACTGAGCCACCCAGGTGCCCCTAGACTGGGTGGTTTAAATGACAAACATTTGTATCTCGCAGTTCTGCAATCTGAGAAATTCAAGATCAAGGCACCAGCAGATCCAGTACCTGGTGACGGCCTACTTCATGGGCTGTAGACAGTTGCCTTCTTACTGTATCCTCACATAGCTGAGATAGAAATCACCTCTAATCGCATTCATGAGGGCTGTACCCCCATGACCTAATTACTTCCCAAAGGGCCCACCTTGGAATACCATCACATTGGGGACTACACTTCAACATATGAATTCAGTCCATATCAGGAGGCATGAAGTACATTCACATTGTTGTGCAGCCATCACCACCATCCACCTTCAGAACTTTCTCATCTTCCCAGACTGAAACTCCATACCCTTTAAATAGTAACTCTTCATTCTCACTTCCTCCCAACTTTAGGCAACCATTCTACTTTCTGTCTCTATAAATTTGACTGGTGTAGGTACCCATAAAGTGGGATCGTGGATGTGGGATCATACAATATCTATCCTTTTGTGACTGGCTTACTTCTCTTAGCCTGATTGTCTTCAGGGTTTGTCCATGTTGTAACGTGTGTCAGAATTTCCTTCCCTTTTAAGGCTGGCTAATATTCCATTGTATGTATCTACCATATTTTGTTTATCCATTCATGTGTTAAACATTTGGGGTGCTTCTACCTTTTGGCTATTGTGACTAATGCCATTCTGCTTCTACAAATGATATTTACTTTTAAAAAAATCTGAATTCTTTCTTAATGTATATTATTATGGAAGCATTCACTCTGAAGTCACCCATTCTCTGATTAAAGTAGCCTTTATAGAATTGAGTCAAAATGGCCTCCTGTATCTCTCCTTCAAATTCTCTTATACTTGGGCATTTCTCTGTATCTGTAAAATGATTCCGCTTTTGCCACCTCCATTTCAGCCTCTCTCTGGTTTGGTGATAATTTTTCTTTTTGTTTTCTCCTCAGAGCTCTAGTAACCCGTAAGGCCTCCAACATACCTGTCCTAAAAACCTTATCTCTTTATGAGCTCTTTCTGTGAGTCTCATATCTCCAGTTCCCTGGTAAGATAATTACATTTGAATGCCTCATCAACACCATAGACTCAAAATGAGTAAGAAAACTTACGCTCTTTCTACCAAATAGCATTCCTATTCGTTTTCTGTATTTCTACCAGTGGTTACCACTTGCTTATCAGTCCAACTACAAACCTTAGAGTCATCTTTGCCTCAGTCTTTAGAGACAGTTACAAAGACCTGTTGATCCACTATTAACCTAGTGAATTTTATAGACCGCAAATTTGATTGTATCAAAGCTATGCCTAAATATTTTTTTAATGGCTCACAGTATAAATTCCAAACTTTCCATCATTACATACGAGACTTTTCTTGATGTGGCCACTGCTACCCTTTCCAAGCTCACCACTTGCCTATCATGCATAGAGAACTATTTGCAATTCTGTATAAATGCCATGTCATGTCATTCCTATTGATTGAATGAATGATAGTATATTGTTAGCCCTGCTCAAATGTTGCCTCTTCTGTAAAGCTTTCCTAAATCATCCCTCTGGGTGATGTTGGTCATTCTGCCTCCAAATTTCAGTTGTATTTTGTATTTATCACATCATATATTACATAATCATATTATAATTATCATATGAAATTATAATTATTTATTTGTATGACCTTCTTTCCTAAAAAACTATGAACTTCTTGAGGGCACTGACTTTCATATTCATCTTTTAATTACAGTTCCTGGCACATAATGGGCACTTTTTTTCTCAATATGTAAAACTATTTGACCTAATGTTTATACATATGTATTTATTTAAAAAATAAACATTTATTGGGGCACTGGGGGTGCTCAGTTGGCTAAGCATCTGACTCAATCTGAGCTCAGGTCTTGATTTCAAGGTCATGAGTTCAAGCCCTGGGTTGGGCTCCACAGTGGGTGTGGAGCCTACTTAAAAAACAAAACAAACAAAAAAACCCATTTATTGTGATGATGTGTAAGTCAGTTGAACCTTCTTGGCAGTGTTGCATTTGGCAGTTTGAATTGGGATATCCTGTACCAAGGTTGTTTTAGTAATTTTCTCTGGATTTGCTCACAGTTTTTCTTTTACACATGTGAATGGATTTAATTTATTTTTAAAATTTAAATTCAATTAATTAACATTTAGTGTATTACTAGTTTCAGAGGCAGAGTTCAGTGATTCATCAGTCTTATATAATGCCCCGTGCCCATTACATCACGTGCCCTCCTTAACGTCCATCACCCAGTTACCCTATTCCCCCACCACCTCCCCTCCAGCAACCCTCAGTTTGTTTCCTATGATTAAGAGTCTCTTGTGGTTTGTCTCCCTCTCTGATTTCATTTTGTTTTATTTTTCTCTCCCTTCCTCTTTGATCTTCTGTTTTATTTCTTAAATTCCATATATGAGTGAGATCATATGATAATTGTCTTTCTCTGATTGACTTAGTTTGCTTAGCATAATACCCTCTAGTTCCATCCACATCGTTGCAAATGGCAAGATTTCTTTTTTTATTTTATTTTATTTTTTTATGGTATTCCACATAGTGAGCACTTAAGTAATGTTTTTTGAATCAATGATCCAGGCTCATATTACTTCAAATTTGGACCATTGAAAGAGCCTTCTAACAGGTTTTCCTACATTCATTGTTTCTTGTCTCATATGTATTCTATATCCTGTCAATAGATTAATGTTTTAGAAATATAACCTAACCTCAGGGCACTACCACAATGCCCTAAAGGCAGGAGCTTCCAGTTGTCTAAAATATAAAGTCTAAAATTCTTAGCTTGAAATTTAAAGGTCTCCTTAATCTAGTCTCCAAACTATCATACACTTTATCTTTTAAATTGTTGAAGAGATTTTTATTTGCCACAGAGATATAACTAAAGTATGTTAGGATAAAGTACATTGCATTATTTATATGTACCCCTTGTTGTCAGACCAGTTGGAATCTTCTTTAGGATACAGTGGATCTTTGGTCTTCTCCAAAGCATCTTACAGGTATAATGTTATCCGTTACTATTTAGAGACACTTCCTGAAGTTCTTTGTTTCCATTTCCTATAATTGTTCTGCTTGGAGTTTCCTTTCTCCATCCTCTGTTTGTCAGGATTTTATCTACTCTGTATGACTGTCTCAAGTGCCAGTCTCTTTTGAAGTGTTTTTTTATTGCCTTTACCTCCTGCCACATTGGAATGAATTTCTTCTTACTCTATACTAAGTATCTTTCGGTACTTCCATTCTGCCTTACATTTTAGTTAATTATATATTTTCTTCCCACTATAAAATTCAACAGAGAAAAGGATTTGGTCTTGATTTTCATTGGTCACTACGTCTTCAGTTATGTTCCCTACTTTTTTTTTTTTTTTTAATGGAAAGATCTGTAACTTCTGGAAGGAAGGTGGTGTAAAGCAAAGGAACGAAGTTATTTATTGTTATGCCTCAGAGTTTCATATTATTATGAACAAATTTATGATCTCTGTTTAGAATTCCTTGCAGGGTAAGTATTCAAATGAAATAATATAAAGACTGTTTGCTCCCTTTAAGGGTTTTATTGGCTCTCCTGGAGAAGTAGGGCAACCGGGACCTGAAGGAGAAAGAGTAAGTCCATTTCCTTCAAATGTTATTTCTGAGGCGATATGCTTATAATAGTACAGCAGAGTCTGTAACCTCACGTATCAGGCAGGGAATCTTATGGAGCAAAGCAAGCCGGCTTTAAGAAAAATCACCTACCGGAAATATAATTAGACTCTCTGGAATTTTACTGACTTTTGTTTTAAGGAAGTAAGGTGATACAAACATATATGGTTAGCTATTTTAAATGCAATTAAAAAAAAAAACACAAGTTGGAATATTAAAATGCCTAATTATGAAAATTTTATTTTATAATCCATTAATCTTTAAGCACAAGCTCTTGACAGGCCTTATATTTGATAGTATAATATACAGTAAATAATCCAGCCTCAGAAGATATATTTTTTTTGTTTAATAATGGAAGATAGCTGTTCATAAATGTAGGTATGAGACAGATGCCTACTGTGAATAAAGGTACTTGTGAATAAAGATAGAATCTTTGCAAATGGTTGTTACTTTAAAACAGTTAATCAAGATAGGTACAGAGTTCTGGCGTTCCAATTCCATCCTGTCTAGTTTTCAGTATTGTATGCAGTTCATTGGTTTCTATTTGTATTCCTTCATTTTACTGTCAGTACTCATTGAAAAAATAGAATTGAACAACATTAGGTTTGAAAATAGAGAATCATATTCAGAATTTAGCATTCAATACTATTATTATAGGTATGCTATTCAAGCCAGAGTTTTCATTTCTGGAAACTGGTTTTTGCAAGTGAAAGGAAACCTGACTATTCTTTGCTGGATGAATTTTTCAAATACATAGTTTGAGTGAATTATATCACATTTTCTTGTAATCACTTGTGAATTTCCTGACAGAGGAGAAATATTCAGAGTTTAAATGTGCTGCAGTGACAATCAAAATGTCCAGTCTCCTTTGATGAGATGAGATGAAGATTTTCCCTTGGTGAATATCCAAGTCATTTCTTTCACTTGCAGAAATATCTTCAGTGTGATCCCACAACTAAGCTACTTAATTGCCATGTGATACAGCAGATTTATAGATCACGTTTCCAATCTATTCATGCAAAGAATTGAACTGCTGCTAATTGACCAAAGGAATATATACAGTTTACATTGTGATTACTCTGCTGCTCATGATATAATACTTTCCTGACCTTATTTCTAGTTAATAATGTAATAGATAAAGCAAAATTATATATTCTTGCAAAATGTTATCATCTTGAATTTAAGGATCCCATCACTGACCAACATTAGCCACACTGCCTGTAATCATGCTCACTAGTTTTGACCAGTCCATGTGAAAATATTAACACCTGTCTCAAATCATAAATATAAGACAATTTTGTGATATTATGACTATCATGGGTAACATGTCCTAATATTATTTGGCTACTTCAAAATTTTCATTAAAACTATGAATAATAAAAAAACTATGAATAATATAGCTAACAGGGTATTGTCATTATGTTATAAACTGTGTATGTGTAGAGAAGAGAGTAGAGAAGAAGCGTAGAGACGAGCAAACAAAAAGGGTATAATGCTAATCATTCCTGAAAACAAATAGAAAAATTCCTTCCTGGGAGTCAGTAATGTACATATGTGTATATATATATCTATATGACAAAGTGCTTATATAATTTTGTCTGTATTATCCTTGGGTTTCCTGCAGAGATTTAGTAGAGCTACTAAAGTTATAAAAAATAATTACCTTATTTTTTGAAAAAAACGGTTGGCTATATTATGTAAAAATATATAAAGTCTTAATGAAATGAGTCCTATTGCTCACCCATACCCTTTTGATAAGACAGTAGATAAGTATGTATCAAACACTGTTGAATTGAAAGTGGATGGATTACTTCAGTTAATGATATCTTCTAACTTATCTGTATCTACTATAAATTCCAAGCTACATAGTTCTGGCAGATATCTTAGTCTCTAAGGCTTCTAAGTGATTCTAAGTCTCAACGTGATTATATCAGTGAGGATATTTTGGACTGTCAGTAGCAGAAAACCCCAACTCAAACTGGCTCAAAAATGAGGAAATTTTTAATAATGATGGTAACGGTAATAGCAAACAGTTTACTGAATGGTTATATATATGCAAGGCACTATGCAAATACTTTATATGAATTAACTCCTTTAATGCTCACAAAACCCAGTAAGATAGGTACTATTATTATTATTCTCACTGTAGATGAAAAAATTTGAGGCATACAGAGAGAAAGACTTTTCTAAGACTATATACAGGTTATAAGAGCAGAGCCAGGATTTGAACACAGATGTTCGGCTCCAATGCTTGAGTGTTTACGTATTATGCCCTACCGCTTCCTACATGACCAGAAATCTATAGGTTAGGTGGGATCTAGGCACAATATGATCTCGAGCATGGTGATATCATCTTTCTGCTTTGCCTTGCCTAATGTTGGCTTTACACTAAGGCAGGTTTCCCATACAATTGCAGAATTGCCAGTGCAAGAGCTAACTGTGCTTTCATTTATGTCCAGCCAGAGAGATAGGGAGACAGAGATGAGGTGATTGTCCCTTAGGTTTTGGAAAAGTAAGACCTTCCTGTTTATCTGGTCATGCCAGCTTTGGTTGTATGCCTACCTCTGGACAGATAACTATCACCAGAGGAATGTCAGGATCCCATTTGAAAGTACAGATAGGATACATTCCAGAATAAAATCAAGATGCTGTTATGAAGAAGAAAAGGAGGCACTTCAGTTAAATTAATATATTGAAGCTTTTCTGAATGTCATACCAGTGTAAAGAACAATTCATTTTTCTCTTTGTCATACTTCATTAATTGATGTTTGAGGAAAAAAAGATCTGTAATATATAACTCATTCATTTTTTTCAACAAATATTTATTTTTGACTTTTATATATTCTAGGGTGTTCCTGGGATCCGGGGAAAGAGGGGTCTTAAGGGAAGACAGGTAATTCAACTTTTGTCTTTTGAGGTTCAGTTCTGAGAAATATAATCTGATTATGTGCATATTTCTCACCTATACAAATATAAATGTAGTTTGTTCTTGTTGCCCACAATTTATCTCATTCAACAGAATTTAATTTTTGCTACCTTAACAGTCTATCAAATAATACCTGAGATTGTGAAGGAAATTTTAGATTAAAAAATAATGAAATTTAATGCACCTAACCCATTTAACAGACCAGTGGAAAGGACCTTTATCTCTATGACAAGGAACGAAAATGTCAGAGAAAATACATGAACAGTTTAAAACACCAATGATAGCACTATTCACCCTCATGTTTTACAGGTTTTAGAAATGCCTGCTTCAGATATTAGCTCAAAAACTAGTTCACTACAGCTTCTTGTATTTTCAGACTTAAGAAAATCAAGGAAAGTGAATTTTGCCAGGTAATATAATAATTTCAGAGATGGGTGGAAATTTTGACATCATCCCATGTCCCCATCATTTAACAAATGAGAAAACTGTGGTTCAGGAAAGCATCCCCCTGTTATCCTGGCTGAGTTAGTAAAGCTACCTAGCCACCTTCCTTGTCCCTTGTGTTGTGTTTACTACTACCCACAGGTCTTTGTTAGGGTAGCACTTTCTGTGCTGCACTGTGTTTTCTAATCTATGAGGAAGGAAATTGGGTTTTTCATAACAGCTTTTCTAAAATGTTGGTGTATGTAAATAAAACCTTGATGATAATTGTAAAAGATTACAAACCTCACCAGAATATTCATGTCCTTTTAAAGCATTTTATTCTTGCGCTTTGCAGTATTTCTTGAAGGTAGATTAGAATAGGTATTAATATCATTGTTGTATAGATGAGGAGAATGAGGCTCAGTGATGTTGAGAGATTTGCTCTGAATTCCATGGATAATGGTGTTAAGATCAAGAATTGATCTCAGCTCCTCTGCATATAAATCCAGGATCCTTTTCCTTACTCCCCAGTATTTCTACTCTCTGTGACTCACACTGCGTACAATTGCATGATTAATGTTTTCATGACAGTTGGCCAAAATGGGATAAAATTATTTTAAAGTTTCACTTTAAAAATTTCAGTTTATTAAGATAAGTTTACCAAACTGTCAAGAAATTAAAAATTAGCCAACCATTTTGTTTTCTTACATTTATAGTCAGCTTTAAAGCTGATCTTCTAGCATTTCTAACCACAGCAACTGCCACCATCACCACCTGCATTTTTAACTCTTACACACTGTGATAAATATTTTGCATGCCATCTCATTTGATTACACTTCTTATACTGCAGAATGTTATGTTACTTCTTTTTGTGTAAGCCCTCATTCACACACCCCAATAGAATAGCTCTCTAATTATCATGTACAAATATCTAATCTAAATATGCAGATGTGGGCTGTCTCAAAATCGACAGTAGGTGAAATTTATCTTCTTTACTCTTGTCTTCTCCATTCTGCGTCTTTATTTTTTTTCCATCCTCCTCCTACCAAAGTATGACGTCAGTAAAAGAATAATAAAGTTATTTATGGTAGTATATAAATTATTTCTAATGCTTCAACTGTTACCTTACCCATTAGTAATTATATTTTAAGTGTAGTTTAAGACAAAGTAAGTAATCTACAGTGGTGGAATTTTAGGTATTGTTGAAAAAATAGAGCATTCTCCCAAAGCCCCTGTGATATATCACTTACGTAGCTACCAACTTCATTTAGCAATATGGCTGGTTTTATATAGATATTAACTTTATCTTGGAAATGTATAGGTAATTTCCAGTTTCCTGCTCCATCATGACCTGAAATTATCCATGGAAATTTATAGATAACTTCTGGTTTTTTGCTCCCTAGAGAATTGTAAAAGTATCCAACAGATGCTATTGAATTCAAAAGAGGAGTTCAAGAAAACCGGAAAAATAATGGATAGAATGATTACTGGGTTGATTACTCTGTTCTTTACATTACAAAATTTGTAAAATTTTATTGCTTTAAAAACATATGCCCTTCTCACAGATTTAGATCCTTGGGAAAATTATATTTGAAAAACATATGTACCTCATTTTTCCTAAACAGTATTTATAGAAGAAAATCTGTCTGGTGCTATAATATGTCATGTATGCTATATGCACTTTTGTTTTTACCCCAAAATGATTTGGCCATGTTTATGAGGAAATCACAGCACTTAAAGTAAGATACAGTTACAGCCACAAGTCAAATTATGCCAAGACTGACCTCAGACATTGTTCTAGAATAGTATCTTATGTATAAATGCTCCCCTATGTTCTGTTTATTATAAGTAAAATCATCTTCAAATAGCTTTGACATTAAGTAAGGGCAAACCATATTAGCATGGGATATTATGCATTATGGGACACTTGTATTTCAATTTAGATGATTAAAATTCCATGAGAAGAATGGTTACTTATTACTGTTTTAATAACAGTAAAAGGAAAATATCTTTTGATGAGTTATCCACTCTCTGATGTAGAAAATATTAGGTGTGTGGAATACAAACTTGGCCATTTTTTTCTTGGCAATTTATTAAATTATGTATAGTATTTGTTATTATATATGAAGTAGATATTCAAATACAGAGGCAGAACTAAAGCATTTTAGCCCACCATAAAGAAGAGGACAGAAACCTATAATATCTGAAAGAATATAACAGAAACCATGGAAATACTGAAATCTAAAAGTACTTGTATCTAAGAAACTCTTGGCTATACATATGTCAAAGACCGTTACTTCCAATTTTCAGCTGACTTCAGAGATATTTAGAAGCGTGGATTCATGCTTTATTAGGGTACAGCTATGTGGATCCCATGTTATTTCATTTACTATCATTAGTATGAATGTTATTAGATATACTTTATTATAATCATCATTCCCCTTTAATTTGATTATTCTTTCTGTGTGTTAAATTAGCTCATTTCCTCAAATTTTAGGTAGATAGAAGTATGCAGTCTTACGAACATAGAATATGATTCAGTTTGAAGTAATTTTTATAATGTGATTTGTAGAAAATTAGTAATTCTTCTTAGATAACTCCTTAAGTTTTATGTAATATTTTACACAGGTTTTTAAAGTCTCTGAAATTAAGGCCAGAAGCTGATAAAATAAATTACTTCACTTTCTGTATTATGTATGTATGAAACACTTTGACAGTCAAAATTGACATAGAAAGCTTCAAAAATCCAAGTTCAGGCCTTTTTAAATATTAATCAAGATGAGCTACTGAGTTGGTTTCTAATCTATGTACTAAAGCTGTGTGTTTGATATGAAGTTTACCAAAATATTAATATCTATGTCTCTCTCATATATATAGACATCATATGCTATGTACATATAGTGCAGAAACATAGAGTAGTAGTAAAAATCCTGTTCAAAATTGTTCAGTTCCGAAATTGTTGCTATCAATCATACACTCACACTGCTGGCCAAATCATCACTTATTTTCCAGAGTAAACACTAAGCATGGAATTAAGTTGTTGTGAACCAGCCTCCTTAGTGATTTCTGTATTTTTTTCATAAAATGATAGACTTACAAGTAAGAGATATCTTCTCCTAAGTAGTATAAATATTATATGAACTCTTTTGAAAATGGAAACATTTCAAAATAGCATATTATTTTGGTTGTTCAAGAGTTATTTAGTATTTAGCCTTATACTGCTATTTTTAAATTTAATGTTTGGGTCAAAAGTTATTTCATTTTAAATCTTACTTCCCAGAAACTTTTCCCCAAGATAAAACATTGTATTTATTCAGTGTTTATGCATGGATTTGATATTTATAACGCAATGTGTTTTTATTTTTTTCAACCAGGAAAAGTAAGAAAACTGGTTTTATTGGAAACTTGGTATATTTTAGGATCAGAGTATATAAAAGTAGTTATATTAACAAATTTATTTGTTCTTTGGTCTTACATTGTTGGCATTTAAGAATTTTTTTCTTCCCTGTACTATAAGCTATTTTTGATTTCAAGATTTTAGGATAAGGTATTTACTAATAATCATTACAATTGTTTTTAAAGACCTCATGTAGTCAGTTACATATTAGTAAATATTTATGTACTCATGCTTTTGGGCATTGAGATATTATAGTTCTTACCTCTTTATTTCCTCCCCTCTTTCACTCCCTACATGTTTCAATTGGATCAAAATCCTTACTGTCAGTTAATATTAGAGAACAGACATGGGGCTCTAGGTGCTATTCGTCCATTCTTTTTGCTGTCCCTGGATAGCTTGAATTGATCTCAAGTTCTTTCTCAAGAGATCTGATAAAAACAAGGTAGTAGACAATCTTTATTGGCCAGGACTCTTTTAAATACCATAGAACTACCATTCTATTTTATATGCTTTACTGTCTTTATTTGAAAAACTTCTTGGAACATATCTGATAAGCCAGATTCTTTAAAAGCTTAAGTTATCCACTGATACATAATAGAAAAGAAGAATGCTATTAAAAAAAGAGAGAAGGCAGGGAGAGGTTTCATATATATTTGTTAACATCATATTTTATACGTATTACCTAATTGTAAGCAGCTTTTTTTTAATGCAAAGTTTTCAAACTTCATTCTGGAGTGCCACAGTCAGGAAATTATATAGTTGCTAAAAAAAAAAAAAAAAAGCATTTTACATGGCTCCCGAATTGATTTAATCAGTAGTCTCTTTGTTGTACTAAGTAGGTTATGCAAATTTATATGACTCCACAGATCTAAAATATTTATGCCAGAACTGAGTTGTCAGGATTGAAGATAAAAATGAAATTGGAGCTGGAATTTATTCTCAACAATGCCTAGAAAATTGTTGTCAAAGTATAGAGGTTTTTGAAGGAGTTTTTCAGACCTGACAGGAGTAGATTATAAATAATCAAATCATATTACATTAAAGTTTGACAAAGAAAAATTATACTCAGTTTTCTTCTGATGCAAATCAAAATATCATAGCCTTAGAATGGCAGACAAAATAACACCCTTAAGGCACCTGGACTTCA